TGCTAAGATAATGCAGGGAGAATTTGAAATGTCTATGATGGGAGAATTAACGTTCTTCCTTAGACTTCAAATCAAGCAACTTAAAGATGGCATTTTTGTCTCTCAAACCAAATACTACAAAGAGATTCTCAAAAAGTTTGGAATGGACACTTCAAAGGAAGCTAACACACCCATGGGAACTTCATGCTATTTAGACAAGGATGAATCAGGTTTGGAAATTAATCAATCCATGTATAGAGTTATGATAGGTTCTCTGTTATACTTAACTGCAAGTAGACCTGATATTATGCATTCTGTCTGTGTGTGTGCTAGATTTCAGGCATGTCCAAAAGAATCTCACCTAACTGTAGTAAAACGTATTTTAAAATATTTAAAAGGAACTACGGGTTTTGGTTTATGGTATCCATCTGAAGCTTGTACTAGTTTAATAGGTTATTCTGATGCTGATTATGGTGGATGCATGTCATTTGTTAGGATCATCTTTAGTATCTTGGCATTCTAAGAAACAGGCATGTGTTGCTTTATCCACCACTGAAGCTGAATATATTGCAGCTGGTAATTGTTGTGCTCAAATTTTGTGGATGAAACAACACTAGAAGATTATAGTATATTCTTAAATGTTCCTTTGATGTGTGATAATACAAGTGCAATCAATCTTACTAAGAATCCAATAATGCACTCTAGGACTAAACATATAGAAATTAGACATCATTTCTTGAGAGATCATATAAGTAAAGGAAATTGTAAAATTGAGTATGTTGATACAAAGCATCAATTAGCGGATATTTTTACTAAGCCTCTTCCCAAGGATAGATTCTATGATCTTAGAAGAGACTTAGGGATATTAGAAATAGCTTAAATTCTGCTTAATTAAATAGTTTTTGGATGGTTGTAATGTTATAATCAATTATGCACAGTGTTAATAGATTATCATGTGTCCAAACCTCAAAAATTTGATGAACTCTCTGGAATAATCGATTATTTGAAGTTATAATCGATTATTTGCACCTAAGATGTCCAAAACGTGAATTTACTCACTGGATTAATCGATTATTTTGTCCAATAATCGATTAAATACAGTGTTAGTCGATTAACTGCTTGAATTAATCGATTAAAGGGGTCTGTTACTGGTTTAATCAATTAATTCAAGCTTTAATCAATTAAACCTGTTTGCTTTAGTTTTCTAGCCGTTGCCAACGGGTATTTTGGCCCCCATACACTCCCAAATGACCGTTGGAGATGTTTGGTTATAAATAGGAACCTCCATTTCACTTCTGCACACCTCTCACTCTTGAATCCAAGCTTTCTTGCTTCATTCTATCATTCTTGCCTTCTTCTAACATCACTTATCTTCCCAAATTCTCTTGTTATTCCTCTAAACTCTATAATGGCCTCATCTTCTCGTGCTAAAATTCCCACCAGAAGAAGATCTGCACCTACCTCTCATCCCTGTCCTAATTCTGTCGAAGGATGGATCTCTGATGCTGAGGGCCGACAGGAATTTCTGAATTTTTGGAAGGAACGAGGTATTATCACTCCTAAATTCCTTATTGGTGATCAATTCATCAGTAGGGGATTTAATTTTCCTAATCTTCTTGAAATTCAAGGAGTTCTCCCTTTTATCCAAATGAAAGGTACATACTATCCTGACTTAGTTAGGGTATTTTACTCTCGCTTTAAATTTAGAGATCAAGTAGCTACCTCTCGTGTTAAGGGAGTATCCATTATTCTTGATGACGATATTTGGGAAAACGTTGCACATTTTCCTATAAGAGATGATACTATTAACATTTTTTGTGAGTTAGATGACTTTGACAGGATCATGGCTTACCGTTCTTTTCTTCATAATCCTTCCATGGAGATTGGGCGTCTCCTTCTAGCTGGACCATTGAAGAAGGAGGAACGCTTGCTCTTGCATCTACTCGTCTAGATCTTATGTCCCCGGGCAACCAATCATGCCCAATGCTCTTCAATAGATCTTTGCATTATTCATGCAATAATGAATAATGAGCCAATAGATTGGGGCAGCCTCGTCACAATGACTATGCTAAAGGCCAAACGTCATCCTACCTTCAAAATTCTCTATGCTCTCCTTATCTCTCGTATTCTTGAATACAAAGGAGTGAATGTCGAAGGGGAACAAACGGTACGAACGACAAACTTAAACCGCATGTTGGACAACACATTAACCCAACTCCAAATGGTGTGTGTCAATAATACTTATGTTCACAAGGATGACGTTCCAAACATAGATGCAGATGATGAAGATTCTGATGAAGATATGCCTCCTACTGCTGAGTTTCCCTCTGATGAGATCCAAAGTGTTGGAACTTTTTCTGCTCATCTTGAGACCCATCAATCTGTGGAAGACATGATATCTGATATGAACCAGAGGATGCAGGCATTCTTCACTCTTTCTGGAGTACGGCATGAGGAAATCATTCGTCGTATCTCTGACGTAGATGATAAAGTGTGTCACTTAGAAAATAAATTTGATGCTCACTTTCATAGAGATAGTGAAGAATTTTAATATTGTTTTCATTTCTTGTGTTGTAAATTAATTTCAATTATGAAATAAAATTTGGTATTCTTTTATTGCTTTGTTTGAGGGCGAGTTATTTCTAAGTTATGCATATTTTGAGGGGGAGCTCATAATTTTTTATCATAATCAAAATAGGGGGAGAAATATTTAAAGCCTCTTATGATTAAATTTAAATATTATCTGGTATGTTTAATGTGTTTGTTAGTGTGACAGATAAAACAGGTTATTACAATGCTTTAAAAGAAAATTTTGATCATCATCAAAAAGGGGGAGATTGTTAAACATACAAGGACTTGATGTTGAACCTACATGGACATGAAGCTTGTTGATTTTGGTGATGATTCAAGAACAAAGAACTTAGAGAGTTGAAGACTTGTATTCTTGTGTAATAACTCTGTTTTGATGAGTTTGAGTCTGTAATATTAGAGTCTAAGATAGCCAGTACATAGTATACTCTTTAGAAGCTTCAAAAACCCATTTTTATCAAATACTCACGAGTTTATCGATCAAAGGGTCAAATAATCGATTATTTGAGAGAGAAGAACCATTTTCTGTATCAACTTTTTGTAATAATCGATTAACACTCCTGTTAATCGATTAACAAGCCTGTTACAACAGGGCAAATAATCGATTAAAACAGTGCATTGAGGGTTTCTGTTGATTTTGGCTCTGTAATAATCGATTAACACTTGAGATAATCGATTATTTCAGTCAGATTTGCATTTTGAACTTCAAATTAAACCTATTTTCAAAAACCCTAGTCCCAATACACCAAGTTTTGAAAATCCCCAATTCCCAAACCCTAATTCATCTACTTAAGGTTCTCTAAGGCTCTCAGAAAAATGAAACAACCTTTTTCAAACAAAAGTTGAGCGCTGTGATTGCCAGAGAACTTTTTGTTGGAGGAAAAAGGGGCTTTTGGAACCTGGTGTGGGCTAGAAGCGATAAGAATCACTAAGTGGAGTTCTTAGTGGATTGTGTGTTGTGCCGTCTCTAGGCAAAGTTGTTCTTCATCTCTTGTGTGACTCAAGAGAGGTGTTTTCATTACTCTATCTTTTCCATTGTTATCTGTTGTTGTAATAACTTTGATTATAGTGATAACGTTAATCCTCTGTTTGAGTAATTAGCAACTGGACGTAGGGTCTTTTGATCCGAACTAGTATAAATCTTCTGTGTAAGACTCTATCCTTATCCTATTTACGTTTACACAACATTTTAATCGGTAAAATTTGGGGAAAATTTTTAAAACCTAATTTTTGTTTAGAAACCAATTCACCCCCCCTCTTGGTTTTTGTCCGTTCACGCAAACATTCCGCTACGCGATTCAAACACATATTTCAAGTTAATCATTCTTAGAGTTAATGCCTTTCTTCGACAAATTAGGCTATTTTTTAGCTTAGGGTTTTGTAAACATATAAGTTAATTGTCAATACAAATTAGAAATCTACAATCTCTTTTTATATGCATGATCCCAAATAAAATAATGTTTAATTTCAATATATAATTTTGTATATGAATTTTAGAAAGATTAATAAAAACATTATTATCACATATAATACAAATTTTTACTCTTGTGAATAAAATTTTGCTACTTAATCATCTATTTGCTCTTCTTTGTCTTATTCATTAAATGGATAAATCATCTATTATTTATTGTAGGTTATTATAGGTGTGTGTTTTTGAATTCTCTAACCTTCTAGAACGATAAACTTTTCTTTCTATAATTATTGATCTTGTTGTAACTCCTGCTTGTGCATGCACCTTGCGATTCATACCCTCTTGAGAGACAAATTGTCTAAGTTCTTAGACGCTCCCAAAGGTATGACTTGCAATCTCCATTGTCTAGGCAAGGTAAGTTAATCTTGTAAAATATAATCATAATTATAATAACTTTTTCCTAGAGAACTAAGCTCAGTTAATGTTGTTTAATATTCTTCATCCATATTGGACAACTCGTATAATTTGAAGGAAGAATATGTAAATTATTTGTAATTTTTATTACGTTACTAATTCAATTCAAGAAAATTACTCTAGGATCTTTAAGCACTACAAAAAAATGGGTATTATCTACAAAATATTACCTACGGATAAAAACCCATAGGTAAAATATACATTACATACGGATATTGCCTACATAATTCTATACATATGTATGTAAATTATCCATTACCTACGGAATTTACCTACAGATGAGATGATTATGCATTACCTATAGATGTAGGAGGTAGATAATGCTTATTTACTACTTTACCTACTCATTTACCTACGAATGTGTAATTAAAAAAAGAAAAACAAAATGTTTTTCCCCATTCTTCTTCACTCACCCACCACCCCCTTTATCCCCCATTTTCTCTACATCTCACTCTCCTCCGTGGTCACCACCGCACCACCCTCCGGATCAAAACCCATGAACCCCCTGCCTCCACCATGGCTGCAAAACCTTCGCCCTAGCTAACCTATGTCACCTCCCACTCAGATACACGACAACCTCGATCTCCACCGCACCATCCCTAGCCCTCATCACAACCCATTGCTCCTTCACTCTAGTCTAACCTTCACCGGAACTACCGTGCACACCACCATCTTCACGCCTCAACCGTAACTCCAAAGAAATCACCAATTCCCTCTCCCCCTCTCATTCCCAGCATCCTAATCTGCTGCCCCCATTAGTGTGGGTTGCGTCTTCCCAATCTCCATTGTGCTTCCTCCCTGTAGCCACCTCCTTTGCCACCCAAACTGCCCACCGTGTGGCCAACCACCACTGGCTTGAGTTGCACCCCACCAATCGATCGCCACTATCCCCACCTAAGAACCCCATCTCGCCGTTACCGACCTTCACCGCGGACAAGATCCCCTCATCGCGGGTCATCACGACCACTAAGTGTGAGCCATCATGATTTGCGTCTTCAGCTTGCTATAGCTAGCCACAGCGCCAACCACCGCGTGCCTCTGAACTGCCATCTGCGAGTCACCTAGGTGATGTTTTCTCCATTTTATTCTGGCCCAACCCTGTTTGTATTAATTTGGAAGATATGTCCCTTTGTATAGTTTGAATAGTTGGTTTTCAAGTGTGGGTTTCGATTGGTTCCAATTTGGTTTTGTTTGGTTAATTTGTATTTATGGATTATGTTGCCTTTTGATCGATTCCAATCATTTGGTTTGGTTCAGGTGTGACTATTTGGTTCTAATCAGGGGCTATCGAATCCCTTTGTTGGTTCTGTGTTGGCCATCTAAATTGATATGGACTGAATCTAATCAGTTGTGTGTGAGTTATGGCTCAGTCTTGTTGTCACTTATATGAGTGTTCCGATTTCAAACTGTCCCTTTTTGTTTTGTGTGGACTATAGACCGATTGTTTTGTTAATATTTCAAACAAGGTTGTGGGTTCTGGTGCATTTGGTCTGGGTTCTTGTGCATTTGGTCTGGGTTCTTGTGCATTTGGTTTAGTTCTGGTGCATATTGGTCATTACCAAACACTTGTCAAAATCCATTCTAAGTTGGTACTTTAATTAGTGTAACATTAAAGTTCATATTTTGTAGAACATGGATCAATTTCATGAAAATCACCATTGGATGTATGATCAAAGTCATAGTAATAAAGGTGGTTTAAAACAAAGTTTTGTTGATGGCATTGAAGAGTTTGTCATGAAAGCTTCTCAACAAGTTTGTTATCAAAATGAAGCCCAAACGAGATGTCCATGCAATAAATGTCTGTAGACCCCAAATCTTGCCCGACTCCTCAATAAAGCTGAAGATCGCCCGTTTTGAAGATGGTCAAGAATTTATTAAGTCCCTAGTAGCTTTGTCTAGGTTCCATTTAAGATAGGAAGGGTTTTTAGAGGCAATAAAAATTGGAAAATTTGCTGGAGACAACAGATGGTCGTTCAGGAGAATCAGACAGTCGTCCACGCCAACTTGATGGTTATCGATGGCCGTCCACTTAGCTTGGACGGCCGTGCATGGCAACTTTTGGCCATGGACGACCATCCACACTACATGGACAGTCGTCCATGGCCACTTTTTGCCATGGACGGCCATCCACTAAGTCCAGACGGCCGTCCACTTTTTCCTGGCCCAGTTCCGTAAAAATAGGAGCTCCCATTCTCTGAATTTTCACACCCTTTCACTCCTACCACCCTCTAGGAAGCCTTTTGGCACTTTAGAGTGACTCTGAGCATTATTCCGGAGTTCGAGTGAGCTTTCTGATTTCCATTTAAAGTTGAAATCGGTTAAGGAAGTCTCTGTTAGAATCGCGCAGCGGAATGTTTGCGTTTACGGACAAAAACCAAGAGGGGGGGGGGTGAATTGGTTTCTTAAACAAAAATTAGGGTTTTAAAATTTTTCCCAAATTTCACCGATTAAAATGTTGTGTAAAGTAAATAGATAAGGGAAAGAAGATTACACAGTTGCTAATCACTCAAAAAGAGGATTAACGCTGTCACTATAATCACAATTTACAAACAGATTACAAATTGAAAAGATAAGAATTAGAAAACACCTCTCTTGAGTCACACAAGAGATGAACACCTCCTTTGAATCCACAAAGGATGAAGAACATCTTTTCCTAGAGACGGCACAACACACAATCCATCCACCAAGAAACCCACTCAGTGATTCTTATCGCTTCTAGCCCACACTAGGTTTTGAAAAGCCCCTTTTTCTTCCCTACAAAAAGTTCTCTAGCAGTCACAACTCTTAACTTTTGTATGAAAAAGGTTTTTTCATTTGCAGAGAGCCGTAGAGAACCTTAAGTAGAGAGAATAGGGTCTGGGAATTGGGGATTTTCGAAAACAGAAGAATTGGGAATAGGGTTTTCATAAATTGGTTCAAATTTGAATTTCAAAACACATAACAAATATAAATAATCGATTATCTTGAGTGATAATCGATTATTCCAGAGCCATTTTCGCAGAGGAACAAAACTGGATCAGGATAATCGATTATCTGGCCAAATAATCGATTATTTGCCTTTGATAATCGATTAACCTGAGTGATAATCGATTATCACAGACAACTTTTCCTGAAAATGATTTTCTTGCTGTAATAATCGATTATCCAGGGTGATAATCGATTATCACAGTGTAATTTTGATAAAAATGAGTTTTTAGAGCTTTTAAAGGATGGTCTATGTGCTGGCTATCTTGGAATCTAATATTATAGACTCAAAAACATAAAAATAGAGTTATTACATAAGATTACAAGTCTTCAAATCTCTAAGTCCTTTGTTCTTGAATCATCATCAAAATCTACAAGCTTCATATCCTTGTATGTTTAACAGTCTCCTATTGAGACGTCCGGCCCTCGATAGAGTGACTTTTCTTTCTTTTGCGGGAGAATCGTGCTTGTAGAGTGCAGGGACTGCCAAAAAGCGTCTGCAATTTTCGAAGAGTTAATATAAAGCTTGCTTCAGAGGTTCCTTCCCTATTCTCTCTCTCTTTTACTACTTTTCTTTATCGCTTTCTTTGTGTGCATTAGATAATAGGGCCATGTAGACATTTAAATTCTGCAAGTGGATAGAATAATAGGGTAAAAGCATAATTTCTTTAAGTGTTTATTTTCTAAGCTAGTCCATCATAGGGAACCCGAAAGGGGCATTGTGGGGTGCTAACACCTTCCCCACACGTAACTAACTCCCTTACCCGACTCTGGTTGTAATGACCAAAGTTGGTTTTTTCTAAAACCACTGCCTTCTTCTTTTTCTTTACCTTTTTCAGTCTTTAAGGTTAAAACACTGATGGTGACTCCTCGAACCTTTTCAAAAACCTCGCCTTTAGGTCCAACCCGGTTATCGGATAGCCTAAAGACATTGAACCACTTCTTTCAAAAAATGTGAGTCATTCAAAACCATCGCGTCACTCTGACCGCCTATTCTGACGGTGGCGACAATGTCAATGTACAAAGATCTTGCCAATGGAAATGGTTAAACTTCATCTTTATAAAAATGGTTTCATGCTTGATTATTATGTTTGGGTTGATCACGGTGAGAAAATGCCTCATGCTAACAAAAATTGGATGTTAGAACTTGCGCGCAGCGGAATGTTTGCGTGTAGGGACAAAAACCAATAGGGGGGGTGAATTCGTTTCTTATAAAAATTAGGGTTTTAAAATTTTTCCTAAATTTCACCGATTAAAATACTTGTAAAGTAATGAGAGAAAGGATAAGAAGATTACACAAGTGTTTTATACTGTTTCGGATCAAAAGACCCTACGTCCAGTTGCTAATCACTCTAAAAGAGGATTAACGCTGCCACTATAATCACAGTTCAAACAGATTATAAATACAAAGATAAAGATTAGAAAACACCTCTCTTGAGTTACACAAGAGATGAGCACCTCCTTTGAATTCACAAAGGATGAACAACAACTTTTCCTAGAGACGGCACAACACACAATCCACTAAGAGTCCCACTCAGTGATTCTTATCGCTTCTAGCCCACACTAGATTTCAAAAGCCCTTTTTTCTTCCCTACACAAAGTTCTCTAGGAATCACAACTCTTAACTTTTGTATGAAAAAGGTTTGTTATTTTGCAGAGAGCCTTAAAGAACCTTAAGTAGAGAGATTGGGGTCTGGGGAATAGAAGATTTTGAAAACAGAAGAATTGGGAATAGGATTTTCATAAATTGGGCCAAATTTGAAATTCAAAACTCATAACAGACGTAGATAATCAATTATTTTAAGTGATAATCGATTATTACAGAACCATTTTCGCAGAGGAGTAAAACAGGACCAGAATAATCGATTATTCCAGAACTTTCAAACCGAGATAATAGATTATCAACCTAGATAATCAATTATTCTAGCAAGGTTTTCAGAAAATAGGTTTGAAAGCATGATAATCGATTATCCTGAGTGATAATCGATTATTACAGAGTGGTTTTGATAAAAATGAATTTTCAGAGGATGGGCTATTTTGGACTCTAATTTTACAGACTCAAAAAGACAAAATAGAGTTATTACAAGTAAATACAGATGATTATAAGTCTTCAAGTCTTCGAGTCCTCTGTTCTTGAATCATCATCAAAATCTTCAAGCATCATATCTTTGTATGTTCAACAATCTCCCCCTTTTTTATGATGATTAAAATTTGCTTTAAAACCTTTTGTAATAACCTGATTTTACTGTCACAACTAACAAAACTATTAAACATACCAGGCAACATTAAAATTATTAAACATATTAGGCTTTGAATATTTTCTCCCCCTATTTTGATTATAATCAAAAGAAATGTAAGCTCCCCCTCAACATGTGCATAACAAAAATAAACAACTCCCCCTCAATTAATGCAAACATAGAATTTTATTCAATAAGTCAATATAGTACAAACATGATAATAAAACAAACAATAATTTTGAAGAATTTAGAACTCTTCACTCTCATCACTATTAAATTGAGCATCAAATCTATCTTCTAAATTACATACACTATCGTCCACATCCGAAATTCGTCTTATGATTTCTTGATGTCGTTCTTGAGATATAGAAAATGATTCTTGAATTCTATGATTCATATTGAACAACATGTCTTCAATGGGAGGACAGGATGTAGAGTGAGCAGCAGAAGACGTTGCAGTAGCAGGAACATCAGCAACAAGCATATCAGCAGCAGGCATATCCTCATCATCAAAATCTTGAGCAACTTCAGCCATATGAGGAGCATCATCTTTATGAACGTAAACGCCATTTACATTCACCATTTGCAGTTATGTAAGCGTACTGTCAAGCATTTTGTTAGAATTTAACGTCTGAGCCCATTGTTCACCTTCAACAACGTGCTCAGACGTTAAATAATCGATTTTGACAAACTTAATCATCCCAAATAATCGATTATTCCAAAGAGTTTGACAAACTTAACATGAATTAGACACACGATAATCGATTATTACCCAAAATAATCAATTATTCCAGAACAAAATGCAAAGATTTTACAGTTAAGCAGAGTTTAGACTATTTCTAATATTCCTAAGTCTCTCCTAAG